AATGCCTTTTAGTGTTTCTGTCATTTTTCGTTTCACCTCTTCCACATGGGCAAAACCTTTCCCTTTGAGGACTTCTTTCCCCCCCGGGGAAACAAAAAAGTTACTTGGGGTGAGATTGGGTGAATAGGAGGGTGGGGTGTGGGATCATGCCGTTTTGGTCAAAAACTTGTGAACACTCAGTGCTGTGTGGGTAAGTGTACTCGTAAATCAACCATTATGAAATGGGCAAACAGGTTGAAAGTGTCTTGTATCAGCTGGTCCACTGATACAGATAGGCTCCTAGAACACTCACCAAGCAGGGGAAGCCTGTACTACAAGGGGCCCGCCCTCCAGAAGATAACTGTTTTTTGGGGGCGGGGGAGGGATTCCCCCTTCATATACACTGTGCACTACTACTCAGCCCTTAAAAAAAACGAAATGTTGCCACTTGCAGCAACATAGTTGGGCCTTTGAGGGTAACCTGCTAAATGAAATAATTCAAGACATCGAAAGATAAATACTATATGATTTCACTTGTATGTGGAATCTAAAAAAATTCTTAGATACAGAAAATATATTGGTGGTTACCAGAGGGGAAGGGTTTGGGGGTTGAGAAAATGGGTAAAGTGAGTCGCCTGTGCGGTGATGGATAGTAATTAGACTTTTGTGGTGATAATTTTGTAATTTATACAGGCTCAATTACTATGTTGTACACCTAAAACTAATATTATATACCAATTTTACCTCAGAACCAGCCCTACGTAAAAAGAGCCAAACAAACTATTGAGCTGTCATGTTGTGTTTGCTCTAACACACATTGTTATTGCAATGAGGGTCAAAGTAACACACTCAATTTATATGATGGGGCAGAGATCATTGACGTGGTGCACCATATGCAACTTGCAGCAAATCTTGCTTTTTTCATCCCTTAGAATTCTGCATCATTGATATATGAAGCATCTGCCTGCTGTGTGTTCAATGAGCCTGGTTTTATGGATTCAACTGGTGAGTTACGGGAATGAGGATATGAGGGCTGACGTTAAGTAGCTACTTCATTGAATGAAGCAATAGAAGGGAAAAAAGTATACAATATATTTCCCATTATTCTGAAATTTAAACAATCTAGCATCTCCAACAAGGTCTGAATTGTGCTTTGCTTTGAATTACGAATATGATTCTGAGATACTGTATAATACAAAAATCAATTAACCTGCCCCACCCTTCTGGTTAACTCAGCAAGCCTTCTGCGACAGGTGCATGGTGCAGTCAGCTGAGCCCGGGAGACAGAAGAAATTGATGTCTTGGAAAACGTCATATATGTCCTGCTGAGTGTGCAATTTCTTTGGCTCAGCAGTTACAATCAAAGGCTACAGAGAAGGACAAAGGGTGTCAGGAAATATCAAAAGCATTTTAATTGCAGTGGTGAGCAAAATCAAGGGATGTATAGTTTACAGTGTGCATTACTCAATCTGCACACCAAAGTGCCCAATTGACCTAGGTCCAAATTCCACTTCTATCACTGACATAACAAATTCAATAGAGCTTAGAGTATTAAAAAAACTCATTTTCATTCTTAACCTCAGTTTCCTTCTCTGCCAAATGGGTTTCATATCATCTTCATAGTCTATAATGAAGAAAAATTAAGTGGAAATACAGGTAAAGCGTCTTCTATAGTATTTGACAGGTGAAGATATTTCCCTCACCCAATGGTAACTATTATTTCACACACATGAGTTATAGAGCTAACCTAGTTAACATCAGGTACATTGCTGAGTATTAAGAATCGTAAAATACCTATTACGTTATGACTCTGTAACATGAGATGATCTTTCTCTTAACAGTAGACTTCACACATCTGTGTTGAACAAATATTAACAATACATGTACCCATATCTACAATGGTGCTTTTAAAATACTTAGTAACCAGAGTTTTTAGACCTGTCAAATAAAGCAGTTCTTTGAAGCTCCTATACAGGCCTATGGGTTGGAGAAATCTTCTAGTCAGCCTTTTATTTTTTAAAGAGCTAGGCTGGTAGCAGCTAGACTTGAAAAGCAAGCACAGTTGGCCCCCTTACCCAGCTTCACTTCTGATGGTTTCAGTTACCACCTCTTAACTGAGGTTTAAAACTATTAAATATTTCAGAAATAAAAAAATTCCTAAGTATTAAATTGTGTGCCATTCTGAGTAGCCTGAGATCTCATATGACTCTATTCTGTCCCCCCTGGACATGAACCATCTTTTTGTCCAGTGTATTCACATTGTATATGCTCCCTGCCTGCTAATCACTTAATACCCATTTCAGTTATCAGATCAGCTTGTTGTAGTATCACAGTGCTTATGTTCAAGTAACCACTATTTATTGAATAATGACCCCTAAGTACAATAGTAGCAATGCTGGCAATTTAGATATGCCAAATAGAAGCCATAATGTGCTTCCTGTATATGTATAGGAGAAAACATAGTATATATAGAAGCTTGCAACTAGACTAAAGTGGATGTAAAACCCCAGCTACTTTTGATTCCCTATCTACTTCTGGGATTTCATGTTTTAGTTCTCACTAGGGAAAAGGTAGGGAATTGTTCCCATCTCATTTCTTCAATCTTCTGCCCCCAAATCTCAGTATCTTTCCTCAGACTTTCAGTCATTTAGTGCTAAAGTAGCAAAAGCTGTGACACTCAATTATACTTTTCCCACCATGGATAGCACTGGTAGCACTCCTTAAGGAGACTACAAAACTGTAATAGTCAAATTAGAAAACCAGGCTTTCATCCTAATCTCCATATTGCAGAGTGACGTTTCAGGGAGCAACACTGAAGAGAGAAGAAAAAAGCACTACATTGTCTCATCAAGGCTAGTCTTCTTTCTCAGAAAGGCAAGGAAAAGAAAAAGAAACTAATGGTCTCTCAAATGAAGAGCGACTACAGCTGGAGCAAAATTAGTGTTCTTCGTATCTCCAATTAAGAATGTTTTATTATATATACTTTTTTACCTATATGTATCCAAAGATATATTTCACCAGCATATTTTTATATTTACATCCAAACTGGACTTTTTTCTCCAGGATGAGAATATTTGTTGAAAAGGTTTCCAAAATCACCCAAATTGTTAATATTTGGTCAAAAAACAATCAGAATCAAGGCTGGTGGAATGAACTCTAATGAAAAAGCAGACAGGAACCTCTACATTACCATCTCAACTTAATTTTCAATACTAGCTATTTTAGAAATAGTGTAAAAAAAGTATTCTAATAAAACTGTTCTCATTATACTAGGAGTACTGTTCAATTTGGAAGGCTATCATTTTAATGAACAAATATTTTTCCCCCAGTATAACAAACAAAAGTGGGAACATGAACTGCTTGAGTCTAAATAGTGTTTAAAATCTGGGAATAGTACAGAGGAGATACTGAATTATGAGTTAGTTTTAGAAAAAATAAAATTAAGGATACTATTTTAAAATGTATTACTTCAGCAATGATAGTGAAACAAAGTTTTAAAGTTAACCTCCTCTTAAATTGCCGGGTATGAAGCTCAAACTACAAATATTTTAACTGGAAGAATATGACGTTTTCTTCCTGTGAAATTTTCTCAAAAACACTACTACTACTACTACTATTACTACTACTACTACACACACATACCAATTAAAAAATAGCTTAAGAGATTAATGTGATGTGCTTAAAAGTGAAGTGAGCTGTTTAGTGGAAATGCTTAAGAGAAAAAGAATGATTAGGAAAGAATTAAGTGATCTGAGAATTAAGTTCAGAAGAGTTAGATATAGGCAAATTATGTGGTAACGCAAATATTTATTTTCAGCTTACATTTGGCACAAGACAGTCCAATTTCTAAGGATAAGCAATGAACCACATGAAAAATCATCTTAGAGAAATATATTCCAAAAATCTGTATTTATATATTCTGGTTTAGTTTTGAACTTCAAAAAATTTAAGGGCCTGCATCAGTTCTGCAGTTTACAAAAGAAAAACATTCAAGTAAAGATATCATAAAAGTTGATTATGCCTAGAAAAAAAACAAATTGTTTTTTCTTTACAAGTTGAGTTCTGCTGTCAGTGTTAAAATTAAGACCAAGATCATATACAAAAACAGTATCAAAAGTGAATGATTATGTGTTGGAGAGCAGAAAACTTCAAAACGAAGACTATAAAACCAGTAAGTACAATACACTACACATATCACATTATAGATTAGACAAAAAAATGGCTAATGTCCATAGGATATTTATTAATTGACTACAACATCAGATAGAAGAGTGATTAAATTTTGGCTTAACTGAGTAATCTGGTCAGCAGTTGTGAATGAACTTGTTAGCCAAAGATTATTTTTTGATGTTCAACTTTTTATATATCCTATCCTAGATAAAGACTTAATTTTCATCATGACATTTTTGCTTCAGACATTTCCAAAATGAGAATAATAGCACCAGAATATGTCACAACTTCTGTAACATTAGCAAAAATGAACCACACCCTCCTTCCTGAAATATTTTACATACCAATGACTATAAAGATGACACAGTTCTATTTAACAATTAAACAACTCCTATAAAACTTACATATTCTATAAAAAGTATATGAATCAAAATTATTTAATGTGTCAGACACTGAGCAAACTTGAGGGTATTTTTTTTAAAGAGAACCCCCTTGAAAGAACTAGGTTCATTCAACTATATATGCCCACAGATTGGGTCTAGTGCTTGTACATAAAAAGTACTCAACAGACATTGATAAACTGATGGTATTAATTTCTGACAAATGATCAGGATCAAGAGGTCCTGAAAAACACAGCAGCTAAAATAAATCCCTCATTCCAGAATGATATGCACAGTATGCCCTTTTATGGACTATTTTAAAACTCCAACAATACCACCACAAGTTTCCAGAGTCAAGCACATGATGGAATGGTGGTTGCTGAATGTTTCGCTGGTGGATACCTCTAGGTATGGAGTGAGGGCAACAGCATCAGGGAAGCATCCTCAGATGTTCCAGTTGGGATCTAAACCAAATATTGCAATGTTAATTTTAATAAAACAGGACAACGGGCATGAATGTTCATTATATTATTTTCTTCTTGTCTGCCTATTTATAAATTTCTTTGAAAAAGCAAACACCAGACCTCTTTGTAGGATCAACAGCATATTAATGAAACAACGGGATTTACCAGCTAATCATTTACTTTATGAATATTATTCATTTGAAGATCAATGAATCTATATGCATCTTCGTTTATAATTTCAATATAGTTGTGATAGTTCCTAGATTTTTAAAATGGATGTCCATTTTTTAAGAAAAATTATTTGAGAATATTTCCATTAGAAGAAAAGTGCCTTGTACTGTCTGATTTAGTCAAAGCTGCTTAAAATTCCAACCTTTTGTTATCAATTACTGATTGTTTATCAGTACAGAGACAAAGATTTCTGTTTATTACTATAGTAAACACTTCCATGGTATTTGACAGAATTCAGTACTATTTTTTAAAAAGACTTTAATTATTTATGTTAAGAGAAATGAGAAGGGAGAGATAAAGTACTGATTGATTAGCTACCTCTTGCACACCCCGAACCTGGGACCTGGACCATGACTCAGGCATGTGCCCTGACCAGGAATCAAACCAGGAGACCTTTTGTTTGTGGGGCCATGCCCAATCCACTGAGCCCCACCAGTCAGAAAAGAACTATGACTTGAAATGGGTTCATACCTGTCAAACTAAGCCAGCCAGAATAAAATTTTTATTTAAAAAACAACAAAAGAATTAAAAAGAAATTAAGCAACCAAAAAATATTTCACATAATAGCAAAATATAAAAATAGAAGCAAAGTAACAGAATATTCAATGGATTGAAGAAACTTTGATTCTATACATCTGACAATGCTAATGGTCCTCTGTCCTTCCATTGTTATATATGTAAAACAGGTATGATAATAATTAAAGAGTGGCCTGGCAGAACTTGGTAGAAGGCTAAAAGGAATTATTGAAAAAGTATTGAAATACTTCATAAATACTATTCACAAAAGTATTTATTTTATTTTACTTTTTGTCTTCCTTCAGCAAAAATGTCCTTTTAAATCAGACTGTTCCTTAATATTGTTTCAAAATCTCAGAGAGATGTTAGCTTTCTTCCACAATGATACTCCCAGTGTATCATAGTAATTCTGATTAAGAAAGATAATACCAGATCTGTGCTACTTGAGGGAAAGAGAACTGCAGCACAACTGGTAAAGTTCCTAGACTCAGTTCAATCAAGTTGTGGATCATCCAACTTACGTATTTTGTTACTCTAGCACTTTCAAGCATTGTTTTGAAAACATATTCTCCATGTGAGATTTCTTATATAAATAGGAAGAATTTAATTTCTGTAAACATTTGCAGTACCAACTATTTCTTTGAATAGAATTTTTTCCCCTTAAGAGTGCTGCTCCAGTGAAGAATCATTTCTTACACATCCACATCCAGACTCAAAATCAAACTTTTTCTATGAAAAAGAGAGAAATACCCAAGTAATGTGAAAGCTTTCTGTAATCAGGCATTGCCTACCTATTCCAAGCATGTAATCACTCCCTATAATTTTTAATGAATTAAAAAGGTTCTCCAGTACTCATAGCTCATCAGATGTGTTGTTCACCTTTGGTAATTCACATTCTTCACTCGTATGACAACTCTGAAGGATGTCCTTATAATGGTTCTTCAGATCATCATACAAAGAAACAGTTTCTTGAGAGTGAGCCAATGGTAACACCTTTTCATTCAATAACATCTGCACTTGGAATTCTTCTTTAGGAGTCTTAGCATTGTTACAGTGGTAAAGCACAAATATTAGGTTTGAGGCATAGGGTACGATGTGACCACTTCGGAACTTCCGATGCATTTGTTCCTTGTAATTGTAAGCTGTGAGGGGTTCCTTGTCTTTGAAGTAGCCCATGAGAGAAAGCAGTGGGAGAAGAGTCTCTGCATGGCCAAACTGGAGGATGACTGGAGAGGTAATTGGCTGAGACCTTAAATGAGAAATCAAGAAAACAAAATATGTATTTATGTCATAGAACATAATATCTAAACATAATATCTATACTTAGAAGCAGTATACAATTTTCTAAACAACAGGTGATTATAAGCCTCTCTTCTTAACTGGTATGTATTAATGAGGTCATCTAAAGTATCTAAAACCTCTATTTCCAAGAAGCATCTCTTTAGGTCTGAAGTCACAGAGCAGTACCATTCAGACCATAGTTCTATTTGATTTGATATGCATAAATATTTTTCAATTTTGCTTTATTTGTCAGTACTTAAACACTGGGAAATTTCAGATTTTTAAAAATCCAGATTTTGGCTCCCCTTGAAAAACGGAAAGATCTGGCAATATATATTCCCAAAAGGCAATAATCACCATAACAGGAATGAGTGCTACCCTCCAGATTAGACATATACCTGTTACACAGGACATATGTCACTCCACATTGTTCAACATAGGATGAGTTATTTATTACTTGCCTGATCTCTTTATACATTTGAGTATATGCAAATCAAAGCCAAAACCGCTGCCACAGTGTAAATATAATGGAATTTAATACTGATACGAGTTAAAGAAAAACAAGTAGTAAAAAATACTGTGGTTTGAACTTTAAGTCCTCTAGCCATGAGAGAGTAACTTCAAAGCCAAGAACCACCCTAAAAATCAATGTGTTATACAATTTAAAAATTCTTTCTTTTTAATTTTTGCATTTCACAAAAATAAAAAATTCAGAATTCACTGAATGTCTAGGTTGGGTTTTAAGTGTAAGAAGTAGAAGCTAGCATTCTTGTAAATGAATTACAAGATTTGAAAGGATGTTAAGTATTTTTGCATTAACTCAAAAGTATTTCCATTAAATAATAGCTCAGACTATAAATCACTTGTCTCAAACATAATTTTCTCCACTATTATATTTTACAAGCTGAAATTTAACTTAGTAATCCTTAGTGGTTCAAGTGTTAGAACTAGAATAAATATAATAAAGTTGATCCAATTAAAAAATGGGCAAAGGATCTGGACAGACACTTTTCCAAGGAAGAGATACAGAGGGCCCAGAGACATTTGAAAGGATGCTCAGCATCACTAGCCATCAGAGAAGTGCAAATTAAAACCACAATGAGATACCACATCACACCTGTCAGAATGGCCATCATAAACAGATCAACAAACAACAGGTGCTGGCGAGGCTGCGGAGAGAAGGGAACCCTAGTACACTGTTGGTGGGAATGCAGACTGGTGCAGCCATTGTGGAAAGCGCTGTGGAATTTCCTCAAAAAGCTAAAAGTGGAACTGCCTTTTGATCCAGTGATTCCCCTGCTGGGACTATACCTTAAGAGCCCCAAAACGCCAATTCAAAAAAACTTATGCACCCCAATGTTCATAGCAGCACAATTTACAATAGCCAAGTGTTGGAAGCAACTTAAATGCCCATCAGTGGATGACTGGATCAAAAAACTATGGTACATTTACACAATGGAATACTAAGCAGCAGAAAGAAAAAAATAACTGCTACACTTCATGACAACATGTATGGAACTAGAGAGCATTATGCTAAGCAAAATAAGCCAGGGAGAGAAAGACAAATACCATATGATCTCACTTATACGTGGAACCTAAACAACAAAACAAAGATGCAAGGAAATATGACCAGCAACATTGAAAGAAAAAATTAACCAACAGAGTCAAGAGGGAAGGAAGGAGGGATGGGTGGGGAAAGGGAAGGGAAGAGTCAAGTCTAGGAACGTATATCAAAGACTTATGGACAGCCAAAGTGGGGAAGGACTGAGGGAGGGAGTTGGGGTACAGGGGCAGGGGAAAGTGGTGGTGGAAAGGCAGAGACAAATGTATTTGAACAAAATATAAATTAAAAAAATATAATAAAGCAATCTTCTTCAAGGCTCCTTAAGAAAGTATGAGTAAAATATCTAATTCATAATTATGACAATTAGGCAATGACATTACAAAAGCAATGGCACAAAGACAGTTTAACCAATGATGCTGGAAAAACAGGCATGCAAAAAAAAAAAAAAAAAAACGAATTTAGACACAGACCTCAGACTCTTCACAAAAATTAACTCGAAAAGGATTATAGACCTACATGTAGAACTCAATTACAATACAACTCCTAGAAGGTAACAAAGGAGAAAACCTAGATGACCTTGGGTATGGCAATGACTTTTAGATATACCACCAAAAGCATGATCCTTAAAAGAAATAACTGATAAGCTAACCTTCATTAAAATTAAAATCTCTGCTCTACTGACGTCAATGTCAAGAGAATGAGAAGTCACAAAGTGTGAGAAAATATTTGCAAAAGACATTAACTGACAAAAGACTATTACCTAAAATATATTTAAAGAAACTCTTAAGGCTCAGCAATAAGAAACAAACAGCCCAATTAAAAAATGGATAAAAGTCCTGAAGAGCTCACCAAGGAAGATATACAGGAGGCAAGTAACTATATGAAAAGGTGCTCCACATCATATGTCATTAGGGAATTGCAAACTAAAACAAGACATAACCATATATTAAAATCCAGAACACTGACAACACAAATACTGACAACAGGATTTCACTGCTGGTGTGAAAACAAAATGATATGGCCACTGTGAAAGTCATTTTGGTGGTTCCTTACAAAACTAAACATACTCTTACCACATGATCCAGCAATTGCACTCTTTGATACTTATGCAAAGGAATTAAAAACTTATGTCTACACAAAAACCTGAACATGAATATTTACAGAAGCTTTTTATCATAATTGTCAAAACTCAGAAGCAACCAAGATGTCCTTTAGTAGGTGAATGGGTAAATAAATGGTCGTATATCCAGACAATAAAATATTATTCAGTGCTAAAAAGAAATGAGCTATCAAGCCATGAAAAGATATGGAGGAAACTTAAATGCATATTATTATGTGAAAAATGCCAATCTGAAAAGGCTACAGAGTGTATCATTCCAACTTTATGACATCTCGAAAAGGCAAAACTATGAAGACAGTACAAAGATCAGCAGTTGCCAGGGTTTAGAGGGTAGGGAAGGATGAACAAAGAACATAGTATTTTTAGGGCAATGAAACTATTCTATATGCTACTACAAAGGTGGATACGTCATTATATATTTGTCCAAACCCAGAGAATCTATGACACAAAGAGTGAACCCTAATGCAAACCAGGGACTTTGATGATAATGATGCTTTGATGTAGGGTTATCAATTATAACAAATGTACCACTGTGGTGTAGAATGTCAATAGTAAGGGGGATGGTGAAAGGAATTAATGGGATCTCTCTGTACTTTCTGCTCAATTTTGCTATAACCTGAAACTGATCTAAAGAAGAGTTTATTTTTAAAAACAAAAACAAAAACTACTGCCATAGGAATATATGTGGCCCAAAAGAGCATATTTATTCCAAAGAGTTAATATAATCCCTCTGTTAATATAAACAGCTGCTCATGTTTATACCTGTTTTCCCTTTTAGATGACTGACTTACATTTAAATTTTTCTTTACAAAGTTTAGCAGGATAAGTGCTAAATGGAAAAAAATGTTTCTATTCTAAATTATATCCAAACACCAAAGATGTGGACTTGGATATCTTCAATTAGTGGGGGCTAAAAAGTGGTGGATTTTTTTTTGTTTGTTTGTTTGTGTTAACTCTAAAGATGTCAAAGCAAATATGCAAGAGTATTTACTGGTAGTCCAGTTTTCATCAAACACCATAAAGGGTATGTGCCTGGTTTCTATAAAGTAAATCAGTAATATCTGTTGAGCTGGTTCCATTTCACAACAGAGTAAATAATTGAAGTTGTTATACATCTGCTAGGCACTGATTTACTACAGTTGTGTAAGCCTAATGTCCTTGAATACTATACCCAAGTCTCAAGGATGGCATGAGTACTTTTCTGGGTTTCTTTCATAAGCTTCTTCAAAGCAAAGCCATTCCATGATTAAGCCCAAAATACTGGTAATAGCTAATCGGTGAGAATATGTATATGTCTGAATGAGGGAGTAAGGGAGTTTGTATGAGCAGGAAGGGGTTTGGGGTAAGAATGAAAGAAGACATAATGTATGGGAGGACAAAAGGGAAAAGAATGTTAAAAAGAAGTTACTTACTTTATTCGATTCCCAACATAAGGCCACTGCACATAATTTTGTCAGAAGATTGCTGAGAGTGTAAGATTGCTATATTCCATTCTGTCTATGGTCCCATGTGGCTTTGTCATAACCATTCAATAAAAAGAGCTGTGAGATTCCAGATGCCATACAGAAAGGACCAACTTTTTTATCTTTAACAAAAGAATGAACTCTGTTGGCAGGAAGATGTAAATATATTTTAAAGGAGGAGCTGCCAAGACAATCAATAATGAGGCATATTCAATACTCACAGCAGCTGTAGTTTTTAATGTTGGGGGACATAAAGTCATTTGAAAATATGACTAAAGGAATGGGACTCCATCCAAGAGAAATACATACCCACAGAAACTTAAATACGGTTTTGGGAATTCAGGCTCTCTACATCCCAGGAATCCCTGTGCTATATCTTATATTACAATCTGACATCTACAATTATGTCCTACATTGGCTGCTATCTCCTGCATCACATGTGTTTTGGAGAATACTAATAATTTTATCCTAATGAGTCTTTTATTTAAAATGTCTAGAAAGATTAATTAAATCTATACTTTGTATTCACATATTTAACATCAAATTAAGAATAAATCAGATGTTCTACAATTTGCTTTGAACTTTCCTATTTGTCTCCAATCTTCCTGTTTCTTCTATATTCTGACTCCATGGTCTCATCCATCAATAAATATGGACTTCTATTGGTTACATTTCTCAAGTAACTGATATTCCCCACTTGCAATGATTATACCTTTTGTAAAACTCTTAGCAGAATAATCTCCCAAAGAACAAGGAATACAAAGGCAAGGAATAGGACACCTTCAACTCTACTCTTTCCCTCTGATAAAAATGCATTAAAC